TTTTCAAGTCTAATATTTAACGGGCATGGAAGCCCAAAATTTTTATTGACAAAGGGCCATCAATCTCACCTAAATCAAATCCAACAAGTTCCTTAGGGAATAGTTTGTTCGATGGGGTTCAAAGTTCCATTCACCCTATCAAAGAGGGGATGCATACCAAGATCTTTGATCTTCACTAAAAGAGCCCAACGTCTTGCTAGAGATGTTAAAGACTAGAGCTTCATAGGGTTTTCCAACCCTATTCCTCCCCCATTTCTTTTTATTCTTTTTATTTCTTGCGTCGTTTATATACAATCTGGGATCATATATGTTGTTTGAGGCTTTGATAGGGAATGCATGCACTTTCATCTTCAAATTAGGCATTTAGTGCCTATTTGATCAATTACAAGAGCATATTCAATCAATCGAACCTCTCTGCATCCATTTTTCGGCATATTTTCAGGTCTCTATCCCATCCTTTAGGATTTTCTACAGGTTTTCAATTCTCTATCCATCGTGCGAACCTTCTGTTCAATCGTTCATAGCAACCTCCAATCGATCCAATGTTCTTATGAACGATCGTACTTCCACACTTAGAAAAATTTTAGACCTTTGCATATTTCAAACTCTCTGTCCATCGTGCGAAGTTTTCTGTAGGTTTTCAACTCTTCGTGCATCGTTCGAACTTTGGAACGATCAAAACTTTGATCGATTATGATTCGATTGTTTAGGGTTCCTTGTTTCTTTACCGTTGACTTTGACTTTTCAAAATTCAAAAAAAAAAAAAAAAAAAAAAAAAAAAAAAATTCAATTTTTAATTTTCAAAAATATTTTGTCATTTTATGGGTTCAATCGATCCGAGACACTTCATGAACTATCGAACTTTGATCGATCCAATGGGCCTCGTGATCGATCACATATGTCGGACACAGTTTTTAAAAATAGACCCAAAGGGTCACTTAGATCGTTCACATCAAACGTTCCAAGCCCTCTCTCTTTTTTTCACTGTTCCAGCTATCTTCCCCACCTCTGGTGAGCTTCCGGTGATCTTCAAACTCCAGATCCCGATCTTATCATTCCTTCTCCCTCTCGGTTCTCCTCTTCTCTTCATGTTTTTTTTTTTTTTTTTTTGGTATGTCAGTTTTTCATTTTTCATTTTCTTTTCCATTTTAGATCGTTTTGATGTTGACCTTGCTTCATATACATAGTTTCAGTGCTTCAATGATGATTTTATTTCCATTTTTGGATTTGCAAGCATGTGTATATATGTATTTTCTTTTCGAATTTGAATTGGGCATCATGTGCCATTTTAAGTGACCAAATTTGCATTGTTGAGGTGTATAGGGGGTCACGAGCCTTGAAGTGACCATTGGGATTCGCCCCGTGCCTTCCACATCACGAACCGGTGACTTTTCATTTCTCAACAGGTTCGATCAATTACACTAGTGCCCTGATCGATCAAGATCACAATCGATCCAATACATATCATGATCCATCCAATATGGATCGATCACATTTTTCTATGATCTTTCAAACTTCACTGTTTTGTATATTAATTCTCCTATAACCTCTCCTGTATTTCTTGCAATCATATATATGCCTTATGCCTGTGTTTTCCACATTGGTTGCATTCTGTACTTGCCAAGCCTAGCATGTTTCAGACTTTTTGCTTAGTCACTGTATATACTTGGCTGCATTATCGCTTGCATAGATAGGTTCATGTCTTCTATTCTGTGTTGTCTATCTTAATATGACAAACATGAGTCTATCTTTTGTGCTTCAAATTCTGCATCTTATATATCATTCCTTATTTTTGACTATAACTGCAAGTGTGTTTCTTTTTACAGGCTATGACTAGGTTCAAGACCATTGTAAAATGGATTTATGACCACCGACTGAGGCCTCGGACTCAAGAGCCAACTCCTTCTCAGCCGGAGCACTATTCTTCTTTTACTGCGGAGGGTGAGCCTGAACCACCTCCAGCACCTGCACCCATACCACCACCGGCCCAACCTACTATTAACCAGGAGAAGGTCACTAAGAAGTTTAAGCGACTGTCAGTTTCTTATGAGTCCATATTTGATGAGGAGGCTTTGGTAGAGGTTGCCAAGACTAAGTGGTCATATGACGAGATCTACGGTCACCACCTTTCTCTTATTTTTGCCCCCGTGACTAACCCAGTATACCCGAGGCTTGTTCGGCTGTTCTACCAGAACCTTAAGCCAGCTCTGAGTAACCTAGCAGAGCTTCAGACTACCATTGATGGGTATCTCATCCACATTACTATCGAGACACCAATGACAGCTTCTCATTGCCCCCATATATGTCCTCTATGGATTGATTTCCCGACTTTGCATAAGCCATCATATGCAGAGATGGCTACAGCTCTTCATGGCACCACCACTGCTCGCGATACTTATACCTTTCGGACTTATATGCCAGAATAGATGTGGTTCTTTGATTTGGTTTTATACCAAAATGTTTACATATCTGGCAGAAGACCCAGTGGCGGGGAGACTTTCTTGTAGTTTTATATGCCATTGATATAGGGCATTGGTTTATTAGTTTCTACACTCATCTGGAGTGTCATAATGAAGCTATATGATGAGTATATCAGCAAGAGCGACCCGTAACGGGCAAAGTTCCTCCCATATGCACATTTGATTACATAGCTCCTCTAGGATTAGCACTACCCAATCGATCCACAGGAGATCGTTGAGTCTGGGGCTTGCCATTTCAAATGGGCTGACTGGTCAAAGAGCTACAATGCTCTTTCCAAGAGCCTAGCGGAGGAGGCCACATGATGAGCGCTGAAAAATGCATATTTAAACCCCTTAAGCTTGAGTATTCTAGGACCATTATCTATCTTATTTTCCCGTTTTAGACTAATTTCATGATTATTGCCCTTTTCAGGCACTTATCCTCAAAATAAATTAATTCAACCAAATTAAAGCATAAAAGAAGCAATCTCAAGCTGAATAGAAGAAAGGAGTAAAGTGGAAACAAAGTGGTGGAAAACAACATCTTCTATCGGTTAGACAAAGCTTCGATCAATCTTATAGTGATCAATCCAGCCTTATCAAGATGGATCGAGCCCCTTGTATCCCCAAGAATTTCCATCTTCAATCGATCCAACATCTTTTCGATCGATCGAACTTCTTTGATCTTTTCCCCATCTACCCCTTTTGTCTTTTTCCCAAAATATCCCAAAAATATCTTAGATATGTCAATATTCCAAAAAGGCACTGCCATGGTTCGATCAATCTCACCAAACTTCGATTGATCGAACTCCCTCAAGTTCAAAAAAAAAACAGAGTCCAACTCATTAAAAGATAGCTCGTGGTGCAATCATTGAAAAGGGCCCTAGTGCACGAGGCCTGACCATTGGGTGTGACACTTAAGCCACCTATATAAGGATTTTGAGCCATTTTTACATTAAGATGAGAGAGATATACAATCTTGGAGATACATAATCTTGGAGAGAGAGGTTAGAGGAGTCCAGAGATTAGAGAGATACACACCATTTGGGAGTTCTTCCACTCATCTAGGGTTTCCATCAAAGAGAAAAAGATCATTTTTACCATAGAGATGACCCTTAAGGGTTGGATGACTATATCAATGAGTGGCTAAACATCTTCTTGGGGCTAGAGTTAGCCCTAAGTAAGCCTTCTAGATCTTGATGTTTTGTATTTTGAGGGGATTTGTGTTATAATTCTTGTCTTGACATTTAATTTATATATGAATCTTGTTTCTATAATGATTTGTGTTGTTTAATACTTCCAATTAATTATTTCATTCTACTCATATATCTATGTATGCTAGAACAGATGTTCATGTGTTTATCTCTAGGTTTTGTGTTATTAATGCATGTCTCTGTGTGTTGATGCTATGAATCTAGAGATTGTCAAGACGTGGTACTTTAATGGAATACTCTTGTGGTTTATTTGATGGTTCATATTCATTTCTTGATGGATTGTGCCTCTACCTTAGTTTAATTAGTTTAATTTTCATGTCCCTAGTTTAGCTATAGTGTAGTTGCCTTACTTTCTTAGATAGGAGGACAATCCATGCTTGTTATTTGATGTTCCATGCTTATGAATGCAAGTAGTATAATTCTCTAGCTTGTTGAAGTATTTTGATTGTGAGCTTAAAGGAAGGAATAATGGCTTAGTTTGATATGTTGTGCTATTCATTAGTTTGTCTAGACAATGTATACTTAATTAGTCATCTATGCTTATTGATTCAAACAATCGCACATATTAGTATTGCAACATATATTTCCCCTCATTCATTACACATTGAGTGACTAGAAAGGTGATGTTTAGTGGTGACCTCTAAGTCCCAAGATCTTTCTCTCTTATTCTCTACCCTTCATTTACTTTAATTGTTTTGTATTGAAATTGTTTAACATTGTATTTTAATTAACCAATCAAAACATCTTTGATCACTTGACCTACTAGTCCAATGTTGTTTCCATATCAATATTTTTTCGTTTTCCTTGGGACGATCCCAACTCACCTTAGCTATATTAGTAGTTAGAGGTAGTATTGGCACTTTACACATTCAAACTTGGCCAATTTTTAACACGTTTTAACTTTTTGGTTCTCGATGACACCAAGTTTTGGCGCCGTTGTCGGGGATAGGCAACGCTGTATTTTGGAAACAATTAGGAATTAGTACTCTTTTGATCATATTTTTACTTTCTTTTATTTTGGTTACTTATTGTGTCTGTTCTTGATTGGCTAGGTGAATTGAAAGCCTCCCTCAACCCTTTTTACCCTTTTTCTCTCAATTTCACGATTTAGGGCTTTTGGGGATTTAGGGTTTCTTTCTCCTTTTTACGGCTAACAGGTCGACGGTGGTGGGTACTGGTGGCTTGAGAAGACATGGGGGAGGTTCTTTCCTCCTCTGTTCCGCTAGTGGGGGCTGGTATACCCCATGCACCAACTACTCAACAATCGAATTAACAACAGAAGAAACCTTCTTGGAGGAGTTTTTTTTATGATGATTCACAGAAGAAGATGGAGATTGTTCCTTATATCCCTGAATGTCGATGCGCAAAGGTCATTAAGATTTTGAAAGAAGATGTCACAGAGGAGGTAGAGTATTGGAAACATTCTATTGTTGGGTATTTGATGGGTAAACATCCTTATTTTCCACACTTCAATGATTTCCTCAAACGAATTTGGAAGACTGCAGGGAATTTTAAGTTAATTTCTTTACCAAAAGGTTTTTTCATGGTGCGATTTGACAATGCCAATGCTACTAATAGTATTCTTCAGCGTATCCACACATATCAGGGAAGACCAATGATACTTAAGCGCTGGGATAAGAATGTGAATCTTGAGAAGGAGGTTCTTGGTTCTATCCCTATTTGGGTTCGCTTGTTTAATCTCCCTATGTATTGTCGTGGGAAATTGTCTATTGCTAGGGTGTGCTCTCAATTCTCGATTCCATTATATCCTGATAAAGCTACATTAACTCGGGAGAGAGAAGGATTTGTTAAAGTTGTGGTTGAAGTGGATGTTCATGATGAACTTCCTGAAGTTGTAAATATTGATATTCATGGAATTGATTGTGAGGTTTATATTGAATATGACTGGAAACCTCAATTGTGTAGGAAATGTAATGGTTTCAATCATTCGGAAGTAAAGTGTCCAATGCAGATTCAGGAAAAAAAAAAAAGCCAACCTCAGAATGGATCGTCAAACAAAATGGAAAACTTATCTCGCAGGCAGAGATTACTGACATAGGGAAATCTGTTCCTGCGGCAAATGAGAGCTCTTTCGTGGAGAATTTGAACTCTCTATCTAAGGAAGTTGATAAAGCAGAGACAAATGTATCTCCTGATGACACAGTGGGTGCCTTAATTATTGTTCAAGAAGAGATTGGTTTGGAGAATGTTAAATGTGAGGGATCGGTTCCTCTTGAAGTTTCCCCTCTTAAAACTTTACGGCAATCTGATTCTCTCAATGTGAGCACTCTTCAAGAGAGTAATCCTTCACTCCAGAAACTTGACACTGGCAAACAAGTTTTGATACCACAAGACCGTTCTCCTTTAACTAAAAATCAAAAGAAAAAGCTGCGAAAAAAGGAAGCTGATATGGAAGCTAGTTCACGAATCACTCGAGGTATGGTTGCTGGTGGTGTTGCTCCACCCTCTACTGTTAATTGATGATTGGTATGTGGAATGTGAGGGGGCTCAACAGGAGGGGGATGCAATAAGAAATTCACTCTTGGTTGAGCTTGAACTCTTTGTCACTGGTTAATTTGTTTAGTGGAGACTAGGGTTCAAAGTTCAAAATTTGTTCGAATTAGTAGTAGAATAAGGGCTAATTGGCAGTTGTGTCACAATTATGATGCTGTTTATGGAGGCCGGATATGGTGTGGTTGGAATCCTACAATTTTTGAGGTTCAAATCATGGAAGTTAAGGCTCAGGTCATTCTGTTAAAGGTTAAAATTAGAAATACAGGGCTTTTCTTTTGGATGAGTGGTGTTTATGGTGAGAATACAGTTGAAAAGAGGAGAGATCTCTGGAAGTACCTTACTGATATGTCTAATTTTATTTCTGGTCCTTGGCTTCTTCTTGGGGATTGGAATGTTGTTCGGAGTAATGGAGATAAATTAAGGGGGGAAGAATATTCCTGGGAGGGTGCTAAAGGAAGTTAATAAGGTTGTTGATTCCCTTATTCTTTCTGATATCCCAATTTCTAATGGTAAATATACTTGGTGCAATAATACAAGAAGTGCTAGAAGAATTTATGCTCAATTGGATCGTGGTCTAATGAATGAAGACTGGAGTAGTATGTTTCACTCATCTAGAATTGATCTTACATCTTCTATGCTTTCTGATCATTGGGGTCTATGCGTTAAAATTCCAACTAATGTTGCAGATGGCCCAAAACCATTCAGATTTTTACAGGTTTGGAATGCTCAATCTGTAATGAAGGAAGTGGTAGCTGAGGCATGGCTTCGAAGGGTGAATGGGGATCCTATTGTGAAAGTAATCATGAAACTTAAAGTTGTTAAAAATGCTGTTAAGTTATGGAGTAAAACAAAGTTTGGATCTGTTTTTGAACAAGTTATTGTAGCCAGAAATACTTTGGAGGAGTGCCAATCCTCTTTGTCTAACTCTCCGTTGTGTATGGATTCTATTCAGAAAGAAGAGGAGGCTAGGAAAAAATATGCAGATGCTTTGTTTAATGAAGAAATGTTGGCCTCTTAGAAGGCTAGGATTAAGTGGAAGATTGATCAATATAGGTGTACTAAATTCTTTTATCAAAAAATTAAGGCCCATAGAGCTCTAAATAATATCACAAGTCTCCAAGATATCGATGGGAGAATAGTTCAAGATGATATTCGTATTAGAGAGCTGCTTTTGAATCACTATATTTCCTTGTTTTCTTTAAGTGGTATGGTTTCACCTCCATCTGCAGCTTTTATTAGGAATTCCCTCATAGGTGAAGAGGCTGTTGAACTTGAAGTTCTTGTTACAAGGGATGAATCAAGCTTACTGTTTTTAATATGGGACTGGATAGGGCTCCAGGGCCAGATGGATTCACAACCAGATTTTTCAGGGATTATTGGGGGACTGTGGGGGATGATGTTTGTAATGTTGTTTTGCACTTCTTTCACACTTTAGTTATGGATAAGGGTTTGAACCGCACTTTCATTACTTTGATTCCTAAGGCTAAAGAAGCTGATAAAGTGGGGGATTTCAGGCCAATTTCTTTGTGCAATGTTCTGTATAAAATTATTACAAAGATTTTGGCAAACAGATTGGGATCGGTTCTGGACAAGATTGTTAGAAAAGAACAGAATGCTTTTATTGGTGGGAGGAAAATCCAAGATAATATTATCATTGCCTCTGAATTGTTGAGAGGTTTTGGCGCCAAGTCAACTCAACCTACCCTTGCTTGGAAGGTTGATCTTAGGAAAGCCTATGATTCAATTCAGTGGGATTTTGTGATTAATTTGTTACAGCTTTATGGTTTTGGAACCAAATGGATTGGGTGGATCAAAGCTTCTATCTCTACAGTGTGGTTTTCCTTACTTGTGAATGGGAGTCCTCGTGGTTTTTTTCAGCCTTGTAGAGGGATTAGGCAAGGTTGCCCTCTCTCCCCTTTGTTATTTACTTTGGTCACTGAATATCTATCTGCTATGTTTGAATTTGAATGTAGACGTGGTAACTTGATTGTCTCTCCTGCTGCTAGAAGGGCTAAGAGTATGGTTACTCACCAATTTTTTGCTGATGACTTGCTTGTGGTGGTGATAGCTAACATGGCTTCAGTCTTTACACTGAGAAAAATGATGAATCACTTTGCAGAGGTGTCGGGTTTGGTGGTGAATACTAACAAATCTGAAGTTTACTTCACTAGATCAGTTAGAAGAAAGGCTGTTATTTTGAGAACTTTGGGTTGTCGACAGGTTTCTTTGCCTTTTACTTATTTAGGACTTCTAATTTCTGATAGGGGCCTAAAGAAATTGGATTGTAAACCTTTACTAGATAAGATCATTGCTGCAACAACTAGATGGGCATGTATAAACTTATCATTGGCTGGGAGAACTGAATTAGTTCGAGTTGTAGTGACTCCCATGGTTCTCTACTGGTCTTCAGTGTTCTCTATTCCAGCTGCTGTGGTGAACATCATTGAAAGAAGGATGCGAAATTTTGTTTGGGGCCACGATGATAATACTGTGAAATTACATGGTTTATGTTGGCATAAAATCACTTCTCCAAAGTCTGAGGAAGGTTTTGGTTTGAGGAAATTATTGGATATTGACAGAGCTGCCAAATGCTCCTTGGCCTGGGATTTTCTGCTGTCTAAAGATAGATTGTGGGTTGCTTGGTATAAAAATTGTAATCTTAAGAACGCTTCTTACTGGTCTGTGATTCCAAAGGATACTTATTCAATAATTTGGAAAGGAATTGTTGCAGTGAGAGGGGTGTTGAAGGACAATTATTCTTATCATATTGGCAATGGTCAACTTATTAAAATGTTTTTGGATCCATGGCGTGGGGGGCATTTTTTTATCTGATCTTTTCAGTTATAGAACCTTGAGATTGGTTTATACTAATAAGCAATTACTTTTAAGTAACTTCATTGAGCTTTTTCAGTGGAAGGTTGATGGCCTTCTTACTGAAATTCAACAACTTCTGCAGCAGTATCGAATCTATGTTGGTGAAGATCAGTTTTTCTGGAATCTTAAACCTTTTTCTTTCAAAGCTGCATGGGAATCCTGTAGGGTGGTTCAACCTGAGGTACAGTGGTATTCTATGGTGTGGAGTGGAGGAAGACCGCGCTGGTCTGTTTTTGGTGTTTTAATTTTACAAAATGCGATTTTGACTGAGGTTAATTTGCAGAGAAGGGGTATTTCTTTAGCTCCTATTTGCTATTTCTGTGGCTGGAATTTGGATCATGTGGATCATATGTTCTTTACTTGTGTTTATGCTTGGGAAGTTTGGTGTGGCTTGGCTGATTTGTTCCATTGGAAGGTTCAAAAATTAAGCTATATCAGAGCTTTTGCTAATGATCTGGGAATACAGTTTGCTATCAATTCTTGTAGGAATAAGTTCTTTAAGGTTGTTTTCACAGCGACACTCTATTATTTATGGAATGAAAGGAATGGCAAATTTCACACAAACATTGTTCGATCCTCCTCCATTTTATTGAAATGTACTATTTGGGATGTCTTAGATGTTGCAAGGGTTAACCTTCAAGATTTGCTAGGATAAGATAGGAGGTTTTGGGTTGTTCTGGGCCTGTCTACACTTCTCTTTACTCCTAAGGGTGTGTTTCAGTGAGATTCCTATCTCACTTTCTCTTTTGTATTTTATTGTTTTATTTATAAAAAAATTTCTTCATTTATGAAAAAAAAAACAAAAAAAAAAAAGAAAAAAGAATTGAGTAAAGGAAGTGAAGCAAAGGAGAATTTTAAAGTAAGGAGTTAAGCTAAGCATAAAAAGGCTAAAATCTAAAAAAATTTTGCAAAGCTAGGTGAAAATTGAAAAATAAATTGAAGTTGCTTAAGGATCCTCTATGAGCTTTTCTAAACTTAATCTCTAGTTAAATCGTGACCCCGCGTGAAGGCAAGTTTTTATTTTTTTAGATAAATCGTGAGCCCGCGTGGGGGCAATTTAATTTTTCTTGCATATTGTTCAAAGCATGGGAGTATGGGATCATCGTATGTGGGGGATTGTTGATTATTGAATTGTTGTGAGGGAGAAGTGATGCTACTTGCTTGTTCCTTGTTTTTGTTTTGTTTGTGCATGCATGGTCGTAGGTCATTAAATCCTACTCTTGTCCCACTTAACTTGAATCTTGAATCTATTGTTCGTAATTTTAAGGGAATTGGTAATTCTAGTCATTCTATTTTACCAATGGAGGAGTAAAATGACGACCTTGTGGAGGACCTTGGTCACATAGACCAACAAGGCATCCTCTACCCTAATGTGCATCATAACAACATTCAAGTGCCATTAGGCATGCTAAGACCATTAATTCCACCACCACAACAAGGCTAAGTTCCATTGGGAATGCCTCGGCCAATTTTTGCTCCATAACTTCCTATTATGTAAGGCCATCAAGGTGTTCGTGTAGCACCACCGGTTATGAATCCTCCTCTTGCTTTGCGTAATCATTTTGTGCCAAATGAATATAATGCACCTACATGCATTCAATTGCCCCCATTTAAAGCACATCACTATGAAATTAAACCACAAACCATTCAAATGCTTCCCAATTATCATAAACTTCCAAGTGAAGAACCTTACAAGCATTTAAATGAATTTCTAATAGTGTGTTCCACCGTGAAATACACTGACATGCCTGAAGAAGTTTAAGACTCAAACTTTTTCTTTTTACCCTTAAAGACAAGGCAAAATATTGGTTCAACAATCTTAGGCCTTTTTCAATAACCTCTTGGGCTAAAATGCAACAAGAGTTCTTGAAAAAGTACTATCTGGTTTCAAAGACCAATGCAATGAGAACTTTAATTAGAGAATTTTCTCAAATGGGAGCACCTCAATGGAAGGGGAATTGTTTCATGAGGCATGGGAGCACCTCAATGACTTGCTTAGAAAGTGTCCACATCATGACATTCCTAAATGGCAATTGGTATAATTTTTCTTTAAAAGTTTGTCGGATAATTTTAAAGGAATGGTTGATGCTTCCATGGGTGGTTCTTATCTTGATAGGCATGAGGATGATGTGTGGCATCTATATGAGAGCATAAGTGAGAATTCAATCCATAAATCATTGTCCTCTAAAAATGGTAGAAATCTAGGTGGAATGAAGAATGTTGGCTTATATCAAGTTGACAATTCCAATGACATAGCCGCCGAGGTGAAATCTTTATCTCAGAGGTTTGATCAATTTTTGATCAACTATAATTCAGTGAATCAAGTGCCTTCCTCCCTTAATCATGTTCATCATTCATCTAATGAATCTTGTATGACTTGTTCTAGTATCTTACATTCTACTTCCAATTGTCCCCATAGACATGTGCAAAGTGAGAACCATAAACAAGTGAATGCCGCATTTTTCAACCAAGGTAATAATCCCTATGGCACATATTATAATCCTGGGTGGAGGAACCATCCAAACTTCTATTGGAAAAACCAAAGGGAAGGCTCAAACCCTCCCAAAGGTGGTTTTCAAGGCAAGTAT